ACACGTGTGTATATGTGTTTTCTGAAGTTTTTGTGAGTATTTGTATGTGGATCTTTGGTTATTTGGGTTTTCTCCCATGTAAGATTCGAAGTATCTAGGCGACGTCTCAATAAAGTCTCATTCGTCATCTTCAGGCTTGTGTCTTCGGCTTTGTGCTTCTTGGAGTAATGTGAGCTTGCAGCTGCTTCTTTCTTTTAACTGCTAGTGGGGGTGTGACTTGATTGGGTGGGGACTTGGCTGTGTTCTGATTGGGTGGGGGTGTGTTCTGTTCAGGTGGGGGCTTGGTTGTGCTCAGGTTAGTCTTAGTTGCTGGGGGATTTGAGCTGGTGAGCTGTGATCCTGTTGTTTGGCTTCACGTTCGTGGTCGTGCTACATCTTCATGGTGGGCGTCAGTTCACTTCATGTATGGGTCGGAGGGGTTTGAAGCGGGTAGTGATGCAGCTGCAGTACGGCTTCTGGTCCGTGGTTGTGTCTCATCTTCTGTGTGGGTGTGAGTCTGCTTTCTACGTGGAAGTGTGGTGGTAGCATTTTGTGTGGCCCTCGTGGGTGTGGGTCTGGTGTCATTCTTCATGTTAGGTACTCGTTTGTTAATGAGGGTGGGTTTCCAAATGGCTGGTAGGTGGGAGGTATCATCTCATTTATTCATGCTTGTGTGGGCGTTTTTCTATCTCTATGGCTTCTCTGATTATTCTGTTGTTGAAGTGTTTGGTTTCTGACTACCAAACCAAGTTAACCAACCTACTCCAAGACCCCACATACAAACCCCTAAACACAGACCCCACCACCTACCTAGAAAAAAAACCACCAGATCCAAAATAAAAGCCTCCCCCATCAGTGAAGAAATCCAGCAAAGAATCATACCCAGAGAGAAATCATTATGGTCTCCACAAGATATACAAAGAAGGAACCCCACTTAGACCAATAGTCAGCTCCATAGGCTCACCTCTACAAAACCTAGCCAAATTTCTTGCCAAACAACTACAGCCCTATGCAGAATCCATCAACTCACACGTAAGAAACTCATTCCAGTTCATCGACATCATAAAGAAACAAAACTTACAACCCAGCAATCTACTAGTGAGCCTCGATGTCATATCTCTCTTCACCCAAGTGCCTATAAAAGAAGCCTTGACAAAACAAATACAACCCCCCCCAAGCACATACTAGATCTGACCAACCACTGCTTATCCAATACATACTTCACCTACAAATGGACAAAAATACAAACAAATAGAAGGAGCACCCATGGGATCACCCCTCTCACCTCTCATCGCAAACCTCTACATGGAACACTTTGAAACACAAGCTCTAGAAAAATATGATCACAAACCCAAACTCTGGCTCAGATACGTAGATGACACCTCCATAATCTGGCCACACGGGAAAGAAAAACTGAACAACTTCCTCACACATCTCAACAGCCTACACCCCAAAATACAATTCACCATGGAAACAGAAGCTAACAATCAACTTCCCTTCCTAGATGTCTTGGTATACAAAAAATCCAATGGCTCCCTAGGACACACCATCTACCAGAAGAAAACACATACAAACCACTATCTACACGCACTCTCACACCACCATCCAGCACAGATCAATTCCATAGCCGAGACACTCATCTCCAGAACAAAATGCTTAGCCAACAAACACTTAAAAACCAAACTACACACTCTCACTAAGATCTGAATCCAATTGAGCACATCTGGGACATCATGTCTCGCTCCATCCACCAATGCCACGTTGCACCACAGATTGTCCAGGAGTTGAGGGATGCTTTAGTCCAGGTGTGGGAGGAGATCCCTCAGGAGTCTATCCGCCACCTCATCAGGAGCATGCCCAGGCATTGTAGAGAGGTCATACAGGCACGTGGAGGCCACACACACTACTGAGCCTCAGTTTGACTTGTTTTAAGGACATTACGTCAAAGTTGGATCAGCCTGTAGTGTTTTTTTCCACTTTAATTTTGAGTGTCACTCCAAATCCAGACCTCCATGGGTTGCTAAATTTGATTTCCATTGATAATTTTTGTGTGATTTTGTTGTCAGCACATTCAACTATGTAATGAACAAAGTATTAAATAAGAATATTTCATTCATTCAGATTTAGGATGTCTTATTTCTGTGTTCCCTTTATTTTTTTGAGCAGTGTGTGTGCGTGTGTGTATATATATAGATATATAGGTATAGATATATATAGATATAGATTAGATATATAGATATATATAGATATATATAGATATAGATACACACGGGACTTGGGTGACCATTATAAACCAAGGTAGTCCAGTAGGCTTTTTGCCTAGGCTTAATTGCCATTCCAGAAAAGCGAGGCAACAAATTTGTTATTGGAGAGGAAATAATTAATCCTGATCTCAGATCCATTGACACTATCCTTTTTTCCTCCCTAATCCTAATTGCCTTAGGGAGAAAAAAAGATGGTGTCAATGGATCTGAGACTCTGATCCCTCCATGCTACAATTAGGCTTGAAGGAAGAAAGTTCTCTTCCATTAAAAGCAAGAGAAGCTTTTTAAAAGCCCAGTTGCAGGAAAACATGATACCTGTTCTCCAAAAGGAAAAGAGAAAGAAAGGGATGAAAAGGTCAAAGACAAGGAAACATGTTTACTGTTCAAGAATAAAGAATCAGGCAGGAGGCCCTTTCCTAAATATCGTAGTACAGGACAATGTGGGCAACTATGACAACTTTATGATCTGTGGACTTCAATTCCCAGAATTCTATGCTGGCTCAGGAATTCTGGGAGTTGAAGTCTACAGGTCAGGTTGCTCTAGTTGCCCACTCTGTCCTAGAAGAACTGAATGTATATTCGTACTAATAGCATATTTTTATGCTCTGGCATATTCTACACGTGTATAGATCATACACAGGGCGAAACAAGTTCTTTCTTTATGGATGTGATCTCTGTATGCATGCTGTAGAGTGGGAGGAAAATCAGAAGCTGCGGAGAAAAGGGGACGTCCAACTTAATGGCTCCTTTTCATCTTCTTGCTCTATCTTTTCTGTCCTTGCTCAGCCTAACCTCCTTGTTTCAGCTTCCCATTCTTGCTTCATAATAAGCCCCTTCCATTCTCTGCATTTCTTTATAGTCTTCCTCTCATCTTATGTTCCACTTTCCAGCTTTGCTCTTGATACGCCTTTAAAAAAACAGTATGCAGTTATATAAATATGCCTTGTGTATCTACATATGGTCCAAAAAGTCAAGATGGCAGCCACCACCAGGTGATTGAAACTCTAATGTACATAAAAAAAGAAGAGTTTTGTCTGTACTGTTGTAACCATGTTTTTGACCTTTTGGACCCCATCCTGTGACATCAGGCTAGCCTGCATCAAATATGATGGCCACACAGATATGCCTGTGTCCCTTCCTTGATACTAAGGCAGTGTTTCCCAAACTTGGGAACTTTTTAAGATGTATGGACTTCAACTCCCAGAATCCCCTAGCCAGCCATGCTGGATGGGGAATTCTGGGAGTTGAAGTCCACACTTCTTAGAGTTCCCAAGCTTTGGAAACATTGCACTTAAGAGACCCCCGCCCCCTTGCCTTCCTGCAGGATGATTTCTTCTCTATCTATAGATTAGCAACCTCTGCTCTGAGTCAACCAAGGTCAGCTAGGCACTGCCACCTGCTGTGGTCATTTTGAGTTCACATTATATTTATCATGTCATGCATGAAAAAGATAATTCCAGAAAAGACTTGATGAAATGCTGAACCTAATAGAGAAATGAAAAACTGTTCCCCAGTTACTCTAAACTTGTTTTGAGATTAGTTCTGGGGTCCACTGTGTAAAGGTCTAGTTACATCAAAAGTTATCATCTTTAAAATACACCGCCTGGCCTTCCATTGATCTCATTGTTGATGCTTTTGTTTTTAATTCTTTTACAATTCAGAATCATAAATGTAGGATGGGAAGTTGTATACATTGATGTAATTAACTATTAAAAAGAACCCTTGAAATGTATAATCACCAGCTCCATTTAAATCGTGATTATAGACAGTATTGTTCACCCCATGTTGTTTTTACAACATCCCTGTAAGAAAAGCTGACCTCAAACATAGGGACAAGTAAACCTGAGATGAGACTATATACCAACAATATCTCCCTGCTGTAAGGCTCAGTTGAGTTTCCACATGTACAATTAATCAGAATGATTTTCTTTAATATGCAACAGCATTCGCCAGCTTCAAGTCCCTATTTGAGCTTTTCAAATCCATGTAGCTGTTCTTTGGAGCAAGACTGAAGAGGCTTCCCTATGCTGACTTCTAGTGGTGGTAATATTAATTTGGGAGTTCACCCTCCAGCCTTGGATTTCTGGGTGGTCTCCTTCCCCAGCGGAAACCAGCTCAGGCCCCGCTCAGCTTTTTCAAAATCAACGTAGAGGCTCCCTTGTCTTGGACACAACTTTTTATATAATATCGACTGCCTTTATCTCTCGGAGCTCAAAGGGAAGTTAACTTTTTTCACCTTCAAAAGAGGTAGCTTCACCTGAGATCTATTGGCCCCTCAAGACGTCAGGGGGAGTCACAGCTGTTGCAAACCGAAACCGATCTGGGTCGAATGAACGACATAATTAGCTCCCTTTGGGGGAGATTATTTCACCAGCTTTGCCTCAGGGAGAAGCGTTAAAAACCTGGTTGTTCGCCATTTGCACGCGTGTTTCTCCGGATAAAGCCATCCCAAAAAAGCGGGAAGGATTTGGACGCTTTTATCCCAGGAGCCGGAGCTCAGACTTCAACGCCCCCACAAGAGGTAAGAGCGCGGCGGGGCTTTGAGACACCCACCGGCCGAATTTCCCCAGCTTGTTGTCGTCGGATCCCGGAGAGGCGGCGAAGGACCGCGCCGCGGGACTTCCCCAGCAGCGGCCGAAGCCGCCGCCCCCCCCCCCCCCGCCCCACCTCTCCCAACGCACGTTAACACCACATGCACCGGGCGCCAGGCCCGGATCAGGCAGGTCGAGCTCGCTCGTGGCGTGAGGCGGGGAAAGCAACACGGAGCTGGCGGGAGGAGAAGGGGGAGGAGTCCGCCGTGTTTAATTCCCCTCGCCCTGCGAGCGCGGCCAAATAAAACAAAACATTAAAAACAAAAAAGCGCCCACTTTCAACCTCGCTTCGCCGTCTGCCCCCCCACCCACCCACCCCCGGACCCCGTAAGAGCGGTGAGTAGAACAGCAGCCCAGTGAGGGAACCTCGGAAAAGCGTCCCCCCCTCTTCGGTCTCGGCTTCTCGTGCTGCGTGGCTGAGTGCCATTTGCTGGCCGTGCGTGGCCGAGCAGAGGAGGGAGGGAGGGAGGGAGCGAGGGGCGAGCGCTTGAAGAAAAAGGGGGGGAAAGGGGCGCCCTAAGGCGCCGGAAAGGGCCCGCTCGAAAGGCGACGCTGCCCTCGCCGCCTCCTGCCCCAAAGGAAGCCCCCCCCCCCGCTTTCCCTTCCTCGGGTCCCCTTGCGAGCCACAGGCCGCGCCTCTCAATGGCAGGTCTCAATGGATGGGTGCCCCTCAATGGAAGGGCTTCGCATCCACAGCCGCCCTCCTTCCCCCCCTCCTCAAAACCCTACGAGACACGCTTTACGCGGTTCGGTTCCCCTCACCCTCCTGCTCTCCACGTTAGCTCGCCTCTCCTTCCAGTTCCGGCCAGTCTTTCTCTCTCTCTCTCTCTTTCTGCGCTTTATACACTAAAGCCGTCATTTTCCTATTTCAAAGAGTGTGGCGGGTAGGGAAGGGGGGAAAAAAATAGCCGTTTTTCTTTTTCGCCTTCCGGAAACTAATCGCCCGGCCGCCTTCAGAGGAATATAATCTGCACGGCGTTCAGATAAAAGAGGGCCGTTTACCGGGCTCCGCTTTCTGAAGCGCGTGTATGCAGAGTCCGGTTTGTGGGTGCCGTTTAAAGCGACGGCGTGAGAGCGAACTGAAACCTGTTTGGGATGAATTGGGGTATATCGCTTGTAGCGCTACTCCGTCGCCTCCTCCTCCCCGTTTTCCACTCGGGGCACCTGGGTTGCTTTCATATAGGCTGTGTTGGCTCGACCCCCTTCTGTTGTGGCAACCTTGACCCAGCAGTCGACTTTTTTTTGGGGGGGGGGGGAGTTTCCAGTAAAAAGGTTTACCTTTACATATCACCGATTTATTTGTTAAATTTATTTGCTGCCTACAGTATCTCGCCTTTATAATAACAAACAGGAAAAAAATGAAAGGAGTGTAAACAGAACAGAAGTAAAATAACAGAACAATAAGCTAAACAATGGCAAAGAAGGAATGCAATGAGAACAATACATCAATAGAGTAGGTAATTTTTAAAAACATGTACTTTTTCAGTTAGTAGTTCTATATCTCAAAGGGGAGACCCATTGAGAGCTGTGTGTAACAAAATTTCGTTTTAATGTGTGCAGATTAGTGTACATTCAAAGTGACAAAGTTATAACAAATCTAAGTCTATCAGCAAAATTACTGCTTGAGGCTGGGCTCTATTCCTGATGATTTCATTGGCATGATTTTGTTGGCAAGAATAGGGGAGTTGTTTGCCCCACTCTTTTCCAGGGTACTTGTTTTTAAAGTTTCCAGTCTAACTTGCAGCCTTATGATTTCCTGGTGGTCCCCCATCCAAGCATTAACCACATCCCTGTTTTTTGTTATTGTTTCTTAATCCACAAAGCAGAGTTAGATAGTGGCATCTGAGCAAGGCAGCTGCAAAATACTTAACAGCCTGAATGCTGGATTAAACTATTGTGGAGAAAATTATACCAATCAGCTGCTATTTCATACCTATTGTGGATTAGGATAGGAAGGCATGAAATTTTTCACCCTTTCTGTGAAAGTAATATGAGGGAAAAGATGAGTTTTTGAACGAAACACTCTGTTGATTCCCGTCTTGCCTCTAAATCTTTTTATTGTAGCATAAACTAGCCTACCCGGTTTGGTAACATCAGGATTTGTTGAGACTACCAATTTTAGGCCATGCTGGTTGGCACAAGCTTTTATGGATGAAAAAGCTTCATTTAAGAAGATTTTTAAAAAAAGAAAGTATGTTCAGCCTTTCATTGTGAATTTCTCTACTATCAATTCTTAAATGTTTCCTGAATTTTTTAAATGTGATTACAAAATAGAGTAAATTATCAGACATGGAACATTCTCTACTGCACCTCTCTAGATAAGAAATTTGTATGCCTGACAGTATCTTTTACAAGCAACATCTTTCTTTGCCTAAACCATGTTCCTCAACTTTGGCAGCTTTAAGATGTATGGACTTCAACTCTCAATATTCTCCAGTCAGCGTGCTGAGAGTGAGAGTTAAAACCCATACCTCTTCAAGCCGCTATGGTTGAGAGACATTTGGCCCAAACTAATGATTGAAAGCGAGTTTAGTGTAGTGATTAAGGCACCAGGTTAGAAACTGGGAGACGGTGAGTTCGAGTCCTACCTTAAAAACAAAACAAAGTTGAGTGACTTCGGACCAATCACACAGTCTCAGCCATAGGAAGCTGGCAAGGACAAATCTCTTGTAAAATCTTGCCCCAAAAAACCTTGTCCAGGCAATTGCCAGGAATCAACATTGACTGGAAGGCAAAAAAAAACAAAAAAAGCTAATGATTAAGAGACCAAATATTTATATTGGTTATACATGGCAAAATGCCAATGGCCAGGCTTAAGTTTAAAAGAGTAGAATTTTGTCAGAAAAGTTGTACTTCTCGAGTGTTTGCCTTTGTTAAGAAAGAAACTTGTTTCAAAAACTTCTTTCTTGAAGAAAAAAAGGACAATAGCAATAAGGCAAATCTTATATACTTAGTTTCAAAGGAAAAAGTTGAAAATGGCCCCATTTACTGTTTTTTTTCTCGTAGTTGGTAGCAATTGGCAGGATACATGGATTGAGTCTAAGTTTCAGGGTTCTTAAGAAGTCCGTTAACTACTTTGTACCTGCAACATTGTGTCCCGCATTCTCCCTGTGTATCAGAATGGCTCTATGGTAACACTTAATTACTTCTGGGATACACAGAAGTTCTCTTTGCCAGTTCATTGCAGTATTTAATTCATATCGCCTGCAGCAGTGCCTATACAGAAGAATTTTGTGCCAATTTTTGGGGGGGGGGGGGGGGGGGGGAATGCATACTATTTTCAAGATCTCCAAAGGTCCTCAGATTCAACAAAGGTTAAAAACAGAGGAAAGAGTATCAGATATATATTTGGTGACATGTAAGGTTTGAGATCAGATGCAACAAGTTGCTTAGTTGAAGACAGTTAATGAATGCATGTATCTGTTATCTTTCCATTTGCATTGTAGTCTCTGTGGTACACTTTCTTAACTGTTAACTTTAGCCAGGGCAAATATGCATTTATTACAGGAATGTGATCTTTCCTCGTATAAATATTTAAATAAACCATTTCTTTTTTTCCCATTTATATATTTTTTCTTTACATACAATAAGTGCTTAATGAACAGCGTACTGTCTGAGTCAGTTGCTTACATAATAATACTCTTTAAAATCTTAATTTCTATCTCTGTTATCCAACCATTGATAAAACAAATCCCATGTTTGATAGTACTCTGTGTCTTCCTTTTCTTTTATCTTCAGTGTTAATCTGTCCATTTCTTCACAGCCTAGTATTTTTTTTAATTATGTCTTCTTTTTCTGTGTGTTTCCTCGTTCTTCCAGTATTGTGCAAATACAGTTCTTGCTGCTGTCAAGACATGTAATATCCAATATACCTTCCCTTTATCATATTTTTCTGGTGTTATGCCTAAAGAAATAGTTCTGGTTTATAGTCTATATGCTGTCTTGACATTCTTTCTGACTGCGTGTGCCTTTTCATCTAAAAATTTTTTCACTTAAAGTGAAAAAAAAGGTTGAATAGGCTAGAGGAGGCAGCAACATAATAGTGTTAAGTTGTCTCGACTTTTATCTTTGTTTTTGTTTTTAAATGTATTAGGAATTAGGCTTTACTGGGCTGATTACAGTAAAGATCAGTATTTGGACAGCACTATTTCAAAAGTCCTAAATATACGTATAGCAAAAAGTAAAGGGGCCAGAAACACTGTAAAGAGGGCCAACTCAAACATGGGCTAATACGGAAATCCACCCTAGTGAGCAAGCGTTAAACTGCACCAGTCATTATTCAAGGAAACAAGCTGTATACTACCAAAACTGTCATTGTGACTTTTATCTGGACAAAGTAATACATCATAGGGCAACAATTTTTGAATGGGGGTGACACAAGTAAGCTAACTTGCAGAATGTGTCCAAAATCTGGAACCCATGACCCATTATTTGGAGAAGCTGTGACCACTGGGCAGCAGCTTCAGTCGTGTGATCTGCATTTCCAACATGACATCTTCCCAATCGGTCTCCCTCCCCTCCCCGGCACTTACCTGCCTAATGGAAAAGAGGAGACCACCCTGTGTGCCTTCTCCAGCTCACACAGGATCCTTTGCTCAGCCCCATGCTAGTCCAAGCCCAAAGAACCAAGCAAGATTCAATCAAGTTTAGTCTTTTATTTGTTTAGCACCTCATGGCCAGAGTCTCGTAAAACTACCTCTATAACCTCCTGTATATATCCTGACGGATTCTAAGTTGTGGCTACCCTGAATCTCTTCTTCCCTCCCTCATTCAGCTTGGTACATTGCAGTCTCTTAGTCTGGGCCTGTCTCTGGGAAAGCTGTTTGTTGCCCAAATCCTTATCCACTGCACCTCCAGGTATATATTCCATCCCTAATCCACACGGCACCTCCTGCAAGCCACCATGCACCCTTCTCAATCCACATCGGCTATGACCTACACAGCACCTCTTGGGTAGTCCGCGCACCCTTCCCAACTCATACCGGCCTCCTGTGCACCATCTCTGAGCTGCATGCACACCCTTGCACACTCCCAGGCAACTTTCCCAGGCCATATTGCCACCACTCCCACACTATCCCTGACCTGCACAGCGCCTGTCACATACTCCTGTGACACTTCCCAGCCCCATTGATTCTTCGTGCTGTTCCCTGCCTGTACACCCTGCCTGACCTCTTATACATCCTTGTGCACCCTTCTCAGCCTATTCTGTCACCCTCCTCCCATGTACCCTATCTAACTCACACATTTTGTGGATACCAGAGCTTCCTTCCTGACCTACACTGCCCACCTGTGTACCCTCCCCAGTCACGTGGCACATACCCTTCCCAACCATCCAG